GTTGTTCAATTACAGTGTTATTTGGCATCGTCGCTTGAATTGCCATAATTTTGAACAATCAAATAGAAGGAAAAGCTTCTTTATTGGATTAGTGAAAATCGAGTCAGCCGAAACGATCTCTCAATCTGTCTTTTGGGGTCATATTTCGGGAGAGGGGGAAGGGGGTTATAGGCAGATGGAGCAGAGCGGGTAGGGGAGTCAAGGGAGGTAGTGTAGAAATGGAGGAGACAAGGGAGGTTCTGAATTTCCTATTTGTTCTCTGCTAACTCCGCTAACTAGATGAAGGTGAGCTACCTCTTCTAATCAATTAATCAACACACATTTTATAATCCCATGATGAGTAACTACGTGCCTTGAACTATGTTTTTGCCTCCTTGAATTGTTTTCGCGCAAGAAATGGAAGAAAAATTGATTTAGCAATGGCAATCACCCTATTCAGCAACAGCTACCAGTAAAATACACCAGTTTAGCATTTATCGATAAGTGCAATTCATTTGTATTGAATAATTCCATGTACCAGTTGCCTTTGGCAGACAACGTGCAAAATATAATGCCCAATGCTAGCACATCTTTAGATATCCATAGCCAAGAAAAATTTTGAACAATTTAAAGGTCACAAGATTGACTACCGTTTTCTCCTAACCTCAAACACATGTTATTAATGGGGTCTTAGAACAAAATGAGGCGCAAAGTGATAGAATATCTTACTCGTTGGCTCTTATCAATGGTGAATGGGCACTGCCAGAATGAATTGCAACCACAACTGGCTAGCATACGCGTTTAGCCTTTGGCCTGAATCCGAACTCGTTCACGATCGGTCTTGATTTGCTCAATCATCAACTAGAAAGATGAAAGAAAGTAAAATTAAAGTTTTACTGCTTTTTTATCTGGGCGCATTTGATTTAGAGAAGTTTGATGCCCCTACCACTGCCATGAAGTGCTTAGCTGTTTTTTCATAAACAGGCTCAGGCACGAATTTCAACTCAAATTAGAACATGAAAGAAGTACTGTTCCAAGTATTTGCTTATCAAATTACCAAAATACAAAATAAGACGACAGTAAGGAAAAATGTTCATTCCTAAACCTGTACAACAGGAGTCCTACGAATAAAAACTGTTTTTTATCGAAATTTTCATGAGATTTTAAATTTTTTTATCACAAACATCCCCTTCCTTGTCCAAAAAACGTACAAGAATAATGATATGCCCGATTTCTAAACATTCCTAACTTCCCACAAATTCCTAAAAAAACAACCGCAAGCACTAGAAAAGGGTTAGCCCCGTTAGCCCCTTAACTTTACAGCTTTACACACTTGAAATTACTATATTTACTGTAGACGAAACCAATATCATCGGAGTAATCGCAAAAAAAACACATGAGTAGATTAGCAGTTGATGAAAAACGAGCAATTAGTGAAAGAGGAAAGGAGAGAAAATAGAGCGAACAGTGAGAAGGGGGCTCGATGGGTGTGTGAGGGTATCACTCATCAACCCCAATATTTTCAGAAATTCTTTTCAACTATCTATTGAATCACTCTTGTTTTTAGCTTGTTGTATGCAAAAGTCTTCTTTGTAAATATTGGGTAAACCACCAATAAAATCTCAAATTTACAAAATCTAGTTTACAGGAAAATTAGGAAAATTTAGATATTTTAGTTACTGATAATAGTATTCCTTAAAAAGGTGCACGACTTTCCAATAGTCCGGGCTAACCTAATTATAGTTTAGTGACATGAAAGATCCTTTTATCCTCTCTTGTCTCAAGTAAATTCCAAATACTTTGACCTGAACCTTAAAATGGTCAAGATAATCTGACTTCATCTGTGGTAGTATCAAGAAGCTTAATATAAACTCAGAAGATAATAGAACTACTCAAACCTTATGACCTTATATAGAAATGTATATTTTTGCCCTTGGTAACGCAAAGGTCTTTAAGCGTGTATTGAATATGTCAGAGCAGAGTTTTTGGAAATAGCTGATCCAGGGCTTGTGTTGACACACCATCAATGACAAACGTTCTTTCCTATCATCGTTTCATCTTTTGTTTGATTCCAACGTATCGAAATCAAAAAGGGCTGTTTATACAATTATTATTGCACAATGTAATTGATACAGCATCTCAAAGTCCAGCCAAGAGGGAAGGAGGAGGAACTGAGGGAATATATCAATAGAGTTTGTCAGATCGTTTGTAGACATTGCCATTTTATGCTAAAATGGAAGGCTTGTCAAGTGGTGGGGAGATGTTGTGGAATAACTAGCCCCTAGTTGTGGTGGATTGGGATAGCTAGGTGTTGTTATTAGTTTTGATATTAACATTCTGTAATCAGGGTCATTAAGAAGCAAGATTCTAATCTAGAAACAGTTTAAAAAATGGGGGTGCTCACCAACCTGCAGTTCAAGGAATATCAGATATAGAGATGAATTTAAACAAAGATAGAGTTGGTTGAGGATAGATAAAATCAATTTATAATTATGCAAATTCAAAAAATGTTTATGCCACCTTTTGCCTTTGATTTGACTTTATTGTGACTAAAGAGCAAGAGCATCCAAGAAGGAAAATTGGAGCATCGATTCATTTAGATCAAGGCAACGTCCTTGTCAGAATATATCAAAATTTAATTGTTATTATCCTTCCTTTGCATTCAGAAGCATAGTATAAATTTGGAAAAGCCTAGAATATTTGCTAGACTTTAAGTGTCTTGCAAAACCTTTTGATTAAGCAAGAAAATCTGGTTTTTCATATACCCGCTAGGTCAAAATTCACCAAGAGCTCAATTTAGTCCCCAAAAGACGTCATGTTTTGAAAGCTTATTGGCGAATTACAATGCAATTAGATGCTTTTCATAAAATACATTATTCAAAAAGTCACGTTTATGGTATCTTTTTAAATTCACTATCTGCGTATCTACGTATCATTTCGTGTTAACCTAGGACACCACGTTGTCTAGACAAATCAAATAAAAAACAATGATAATTAAAATGGCTCTTTTGGTAACATAAAGAGTGTATAAATTCATTTGTGCCGAATGTACGTCAGGGTGGTTTCAAAAGCGCTTTGAATGACAGGCCATGTATCTTGAAGCAGTTTATCTTGCAACGATACAAATAAAACGTCATCTACATACCGTGTGTGTTAATCTCCACTAAAAGTGGTTGACGTTTCGGTAGTAGCTTTATCTCGTTTGAAATCTCTTGCCCATCTGGGAATACCACCGTGACATCATAAATACCGTGATAGCCTCGAAACTTGAAGTCACAAGACGATTTTAAGACAACTGAAGGTGCCAAAGTTAATTTTGTCGTCCATTCCTTTCTAAGGTCCATGTAGCGCCTTCCAACTTTGTTAAGCTGCAGAAAAAGTTCAAAAAATATAGCTTCAAAAATTCTTAGACACCTAGATGCTTTATATCAATACTAAATTATCTATTATATATCAATATCTAAATCTATTGATAGCATCTATTGGGCAAAAACATTTTCAAACCAAATCAAACAGTAGTCTGCTATGGTAGCCCGACTATCTATTGGTGCCTTGACCTTCAATTTTTTTCTCGAACATACATGATTAAGACCAATCTTTATCTCCCTAGACAAATATCTATGCTTTCGTTACGTTAACAATTAGCTTTTGAACCAGAAGAACCAATATGCAATTGCAGTACGTTGAATCTGTCCTTGCTAACCCCCTCTCCAAAAAAAATTGTTGCTACAATAAAATGTCTTTTAAAAAATTTGTGTTATTTACATTGAAGTTGAAATGATTCTTTATATGTATTAGAATCTAATACAAAGTGTCCAAAAACAAAAGAACGTCAAGAGAGAATGAGCTTAACAAAAGAAGGGAAGCAATTCCTTAAGGCCAATATTTGAATGATATGGATAAGCGAGTGTCGTAATGCTCTGTTTATGTCGAGAAAGAAAAAGGCCAAAGCGAATTAAAAAGTTGTTAGGGATGAAACTGGAGGCTCTTTTCTTAAAACATTGCCTTATAACAACCAAATTTTAAACCATTCCAAAAATAAGCTATCGGTGATACAGTTTTGCAAATATGCATTGAATATTTGTCAATTGTTTTCATTTGTTGATATACTTAGCATTGAAGGATGGTTGCATAGTAGGACAACAGAAAATATTGAAATGAACAGAAAGACACATTGTTGCAGATACCAATATTACATCCAACTAAAAATATTTCTGCAACATGACAATTTTGGAAAATGAACAGAAAAAGGTGGTAAAATGGGCGAAGACTGAAAAAAATGAAACTAAAAATCTTGGTGGCGAAAATTGCATTTCACAGATAGGCCGAAGATAACATTTCAGGTTATTATTAGTTTTAAACATTGCCACTTCTAAATTTCTGCAAACTTTCAAGAGTAGATACTATTCACTCACTGAATCTAGATTCTAGATTTCTTTACGACAAAAAACAGTGCCTCTGTGAAAATATTTGCAACCCCCTCCCTTTCTCAACACCCGTTTGCTTGTTTTTGATGCCACAGTAAAGTTTTTCCTTTTCTTTGCTCGCAATTTGTTGTTTTGTCTCCGTAGACAACCGCCTATTCATCAAAATATGGCGTTTTGTCTGAGCATAGGTTTTCCGTGCCATCAAAGACTGCAATTTAAAGCAAAGGTAGTTAACACTCCTGAAAAATTAACGATATCTCCTGGTTTTATCTCAAATACTTAATAATCTGCTAGAATGCTGCGAGGGTCGCGAAAATAAGACATCTGAAGCCGCCATTTCTAACTCAATGTTTTACAGTTCAACAACGGAACAGAAGCAATAGGTAGCCAATCATTTACTGGCTGTTGTACAAATCTCTTGCAAATATGGTATCATTTCCGACTTCCAGATGCTGGTCTGGCTGAGTTCCATCCGTGTTCCAAACAAAAACTTCATTTTTTCAATTCATTCACTTCCGAGGCACAAAACGTTTATTTCCGAGTTCTAGGATTGAGTGTTGTTGTCCTCCACAGCGTCTGGAAAATCGTTTCCAAATCACGACCGACAGAGAAGAAGGAAGGAAAGGAGAGAACATTGCAATTTTAAGCTTTTGAAGAGACTATGATAAAACTTAGAATTTTTAGGTTACTTGTTTCAGGCAACACTATTTTAAGCTATATGCTGGAAAACTGACTGAGCTCTGTGCACCAAGGAACTCACTCTGGATCCACCTCTGAATAGTTATAAAAGCACATTTAGATATCATTTAATAAATTTCTTGAATAATCTCATTTCCATATGAATCACACGAATGCCAAAGGGCTTGATACATCTATAGCATAAATTGATAGGAATCTGGCCTCACAATATCTTCTACCTGTTCTAAAGAAAATTACTGGTAACTGGTTTGTCATGAAATGCTCGATGCCGTATAGGCAGGGCTGTCCGGTTGTTTACACCAAAAGCGTTTTACAGCTCTTTTAAGCCTGTCTTTTGACATGGTGTGAGAGAACTTTGGCATAGGATTTTAGGGATAAGATGTTATATGTCTGTAATTCTCAAAATTAGATTCTCTTGTCTAAATGAAATTGACGAAAACAAGAAATTTCAACTGATCCTGTTCATCAAAATTAGCAGTACAGCAATACTTTTGTATTTCTTTTGTGCATATGGCCTTAAGGTCACATACCCAAAGCAAAACCTCTTGGTTTCTGTACTTACAGCTTGTAATGAAATTGAAATATTCTGAACCATTTTTTTCATATCAACTATGTAAAATCTTAATTTCCCAGCTGTATAAAAAATTATTTAATTTGACCAAATAAAACAAACTTCAACCTGCACTCTTTTTTATAAGAACAACTTTATAAGAACACAGGCCTCAAAATTTATTTAAAGTTTAGAACAAATTGAGAACAAGCTGTGGTTGAGCTACTGGTAAAATACCATTTTGTTTGTTCTAAAAAATTAACGTTTTATCTCAAAAATGAGGATTTTCAGCCATGTGTGGGTGCTTTTTCGCGAGGGGCAATTCACTCTTGCAAAGCGTACGAGATTTTCCCTAAAACAAAAGGCTTTCCAGGGATTTTAAGATAAAACAATGGGATTTTCACATTTCACAAGTGTACGAAATTTTCTTGAAGTTATTTGCCCCTGGCTTTCTCGGTGAATATTCAAATTTGTCAGCAAATTAAGGCTGTCTCACTCACTGTGTTGGCAAAGAAGGCCTGAACACTTAAAGAGCGAAGAAGCTAGCAATTTAACTGTTTACACTCAGTCAATTTATTAACAAATTAAGAACAATCCAGCATCAGATTTTCGAAAAAGTTAAGAACAGTCAGCCTGAATCTAAATTTACTGGCTCTTATAAAGAAAAGAGTTTGTAATTAGGGCTGCAACTAAAATCGTTCTTGAAAACGTAAAATGAGTTGAGAATTTTCGGCTATAATGTTTTATAATTTACCTGGTCAATGAGAATACATTTAGGCTGACATTGAAAAGCTGAAGCTCATGTTCCCAGGAAGCTCACTCAAAGTAGTTGCGACAAATTGCAAGAATCAGCTGCATACAGTTATTGAAATAAGTGACAAGATGAATTAAATTTTGTGTCATTTTGTAGTGGCAGAGTATGTAAGCTAATTCTGGATCTCTATTGAAACCTAATTAAAGAAAAGTAGAGTTGGCAAGCAAGCCCATTCAGTAAGAGAAATGAGGAACACATGTGCTTGGTTCGTGCCAGTGGGGTCAAAATATTTGGCAACCTTCAACTTTTTAAACAAAGAAATTGAAATGAAATTAAACGAATTGTTGATCGCTTATAAGATTTATAAAAGCCACTTTTGTCAAAAGATATTAAGTTACTTTGGGTAAAATGAGCTTTTTTCAGCATAATACCCCCAAAACAAAGGACCACCATGCTATATTGTTAATGAGGCAGGACCAGAGTGAGCCGCCCACTTATTTGAAAAACAGCCCAGAGCCAATCACTGCTGAGAACATACGTCCTGTACTAAACGCGGGAGACACCTTAATTACATTGTACCCTCTGATTCAAGCGTTGATTTTCGTCAAGTGGGAAAGGAGCTTCAAATTCTTGATAAAAATTGGTTGAAAAATGAGAAAGAAAGCAAATACATGTGACGAAATGAATGAAAATTAAGAAATGAGGTAAAATCTGCTGGTGCGGAAAATCTACAAATCATAGCTTTAATAGTTCGAGAAAATTAGCATTTGTTTGTTTTAGCCATAAAACCTGAAACATGTTTAAAGGATATATTCTACGCTTTTGTGCAATGACACGACAAGTCAACTCAACGACAGCTTTAGATATCGGTTGGGATGGACAAACTTGAGCAAGGACCATACCATACAATATAACAGATACATAACTGTGAATAAAAGCTTTGAAATGAATCAACCTTACAAAGAAGCTTACCCTGGGTGCCAGTGAGTCGATAACATATTAACTACAAAATTTTGACACAAACTGGGAAGCTCCCCTAGCCACTGAAATGAAAACTCCTCCAAAGATATCTCACGAAATGAGGGGTTTTCATAAACAAGGTATGTGAATCAAAGCGCAATGACGAAAGGTGTGCTACGTTGTCTTTTTGGGGCATCCGTGTAAGTCATGGATGTAAAAAGACATTTAAGCATCGCTGAAGCATAACCACATGCCACTATAATTCTGTACACAATAATCAATACTCGAGCAGCTACTTTATAAGTTTACATCTTTTTATATAAGAATATTGTTTTAAGAATATCGAGGCTTAGAATCATCCTATTTTAAAAAATATTTTAAGAATAATTGCTCAGCCTAAGCTCGCATTTTGTGTCTCAATGAAGTTGCCAGTTTTGTCATTTTCATAATAGAGAATCGCAGGACAGACATAGGTTGTTATCAAAAAGTGTGTTTTCTATTCAAGTGCGGGCGATTGCTTGCTCTCGCAGTGTCAAAGATTCAATTTTTAAAAAAGAATTTAGGTTATCTTTCAGCGCATTTTAAACGTTTATTTTTTGTGAGTAGTGGTAAA